AGTCTGACAATTTTTTTAGTTGTATATGTGTATGTATACGGGAATGCATGCATGTGCTTGTGGGTTGTGATGCCTGGAGAGATGGATCAGTAGTTAATAATGCTTGCTCCAGAGATCTTTTCAGAGAACATGTGGAAACCTGATCTGTGGATAAGAATTCTGTTCCTGGCCAGAAAAAGGGAAGTGGCCTCAGGAGTAACTCTCCAATTATTTGTTATGTCCATTTTGTTGTCCATAATTGAAGGCCTAAAGTCATCCTCTACTGAGGAGGACATTAAAGCCCACAACAAGCACTGTCAGAAACAATATAACTCCATATGGAGTGTCTTCAATGCCCATCCTCCTCTCTGAAGTAAATTGGTGCTGCCAGGAGCAGACATGTCTCACTGTCCAGAAAGTCTAAATTTTTAAAAACATTTTAAGTGCCATATTCTGTAGGTCTTTGAAGTGTTTGAAGATTACCTGTCTATCTGAAATATATCTATGTATACCTAGAAAACTTGACTAACATGTTACAAGTTTGACTATCATAGAAGACTAATTATTAATTTGTATTTCTTAATTATCCATTACAATCTAAATGAGTTACATAAACATAATATCTCAAACGAGTATAGAAATATATATATATAGTATAATTATAATTAAGTTTAAACTTGTATCAGTAAACTAAAATCTATACCAATGTAAAACATTTCAAATAAGTTGTTGCTTTTTAAAAGTAGGTTCATTAATCTATCCTTTTATTCTATCATATCTAAACTATCCCATTTTCTTTAGAAAGATATTGTATTTATAATCAACCTGATTTAATAAAAATACTAGTTTTTCTCTGTTCCACACCAGAGGGCTCTTCTGATACAGGACACAAGAATCTCTTAACCTTTTGTTTTAGCAATATGCCTGGGTTTAGAGAAGGAGTGAGCCTATTCCATCTCCAAAGCGAGCTTGTTACATTTGGGAATTTGGGTGTAGTTTTTCTTACTACTGCCTGCTGGAGGGGGGCGCTGTATCTTATGGGGACACAAAGAAAATTTTAGGCTTATGGGGTAGTCCATGAGGCTGTATTATCTGAGCTGGTTGTCTTGAAACCATTCTGGATGTTGGATCACCTGGGCCATGGTGTCATCAGAGACCTTTCAGGGGGTCTTGGCTGGTTAAACCTGATGTATCTTAATCTGGAACAAATCCACAGCCTCTGGCTTTCTGTGGAAACAAAAGCAGAGCCTCCTTTCCAAAGCAACATATCCTTACATCCAAATTTTGAAGTCAAAGTACCTTTAAAATATACATTTTTGTTTAACTCAACAGCTTTTAACATCAAATGTTTTTCTACAGTTAAAAATTCCGAAGATAACACAATCCAGATTCTCTGTGTAATATCCATCTTTACATGGCTTATTTTTTATATTAATTTTACTGTCTTTTTAAAGACTTTATTTTTTTAAAACTATGTATTTGTTTATATAACTGTATATATCACGTTTTTTGTCTCTTTCAAGCCTACATATTTTTTATACACATTGTAAACTACTACATCTGAATCTGTCTTATTGTGAACCTATTGCTTTAAACTACAGCATTTGTAAGACTGAAACTGCCACTGTGGCTGCTGGCTCCACCCACCTCTGCTTCCCAATATGGCGGTGGTACAGTTTACTGCCAGCTGTGCATCTGGAGCCATGTGTTCCATCAACTATCAGAAGCAGAAGCAGTGGGTCTAAGCTTTTATCAAGGCAGCATGTAGCCCAGAAACTTCTTTTTTTTAACTAGTAAAACTATATCCAACACAGAGCATAGTGCACAGCTTTGAGACACCTCTGTGTAACATAGCCTAGGTCAAGCCCGCATGCACACCAAGAACCTGCCATAGCTAAAACGCATGTTGCAGTGTCTAGCTGCCCATATGAGACATGAAGCAGGAACTTGGTTTTGGCTTCGTTTAGAATTGGTTATTAAATATTCTCAGGTTTAAGGTGGAAACTCGAGCTGTTGGGCGCCATTTGTAGCTGGAGTTTTCTCTCTGGGTCCCACCAAGCACTGGCAGTCCGACAGCCCACTTATAAAATAAACACACAGACACTTATATTGCTTACAAACTGTATGGCCATAGCAAACTTCTTGCTAACTGTTCTTATATCTTAAATTAACCCATTTCTATTAATCTATAAGTTGCCATGTGGCTTTTGGCTTATCGGTGTCTTAACATGTTGCTTCTCCTCACAGCAGCTGGCAGTGTCTCCCTGCCTCAGCCTCCACTTCCCAGAATTCTCTTCTTTGCTTGTCCCGCCTATATTTCCTGCCTGGTTACTGGCCAATCAGCATTTTATTTATACAGCGTGATATCCACAGCAGAACAAGGATTATCCTATCAGGATCTGGTCTAAGGGCCACTTATGTAATAGTCTGTCAAATAATCCTGCTATATTATATCCATGTTTTAAGGTCTCAAGTGAGATTGAATTTAAACTTAATGGACAAATCGGGTTAGTGGAGAGAATTTTGAGACAAGATACCTTTCAGAGAATGGCATGGCTAGTGTTTACTGCTGTCACTCAGGTCAAGTGTGCAAGTGAGCAAACCATAAGGCTGAAAGATAGTAAAAATATAAATTTTGGTGGGGAAAAGAATGTGAACAAATTCAACCATACAAACAAGGTAGATTTGAAAGTTTCTGTAACTGATACGGAGATTAAAGGGAAAACCATTAAAGAGAAATTTGACATTTTGTACTAAGAGGAAAAAGTGTCCTGAAGGGAATGCACCACCTATTAAAGGCTACACTCTGCAAAAATGTATGTTCATTTGAAAGGAAAATGCTTAAGCTGAAAATACAAAATTCTACTGTGGGCAAATCCTTCTGGAAAGGAATTTCCTTACTAATCAAATGTTTCCCCATGGTCAGAAGCAGACCCAACTATGGACTAAAGGGAACAAGATCCATCATGAGATGCCAGTAGAACTTGGCAGCATCATCCATGTGGTGCTACAGGAATAAAAAAAGCAAAATTGATGGTCTAATGAAGTCACAAAACAGTTACAGAAAGACACTAATGTCAGGCAACATGTAGCAAGATTTGATCCTCTAAGAGGGAGTCATTGGGAGGCAAATGCATGAACCTGTAAAGGTGATCTAAGTTGTACTGGAGACCTCAGGATGTTGGAGATGCCACAACCATGGGAGGTCCACAGAGAAATGCTAATGACATAGAATAAATCAAGTTCAAGAGAGTCTATGGTGTGCTTCAGGAAGTAAAGCTGGAGGGATTGAGCTACCTAAGCCCTTTGGAGCTCAGAAGATTGCATCAGGAGCCTGAGATGACATGGATATAGAGTTATAGGACTTAGCATTTTCTCTCGTTTTCAATCTTGCTTTGCTCTGGCTTCATTCTTTTTTTAATTAATTAATTTATTTATTATGTATACAGTATTCTGCCTGCATGTATGCCTGCAAGCCAGAAGAGGGCACGGGATCTCATTGTAGATGGCTATGAGCCGCCATGTGGTTGCTGGGAATTGAACTCGGGACCTCTGGAAGAGCAGCCAGTGCTCTTAACCTCTGAGCCATCTCTCCAGCCCCCTGGCTTCATTCTTTTCTTTTGGAATAGCAATGGTTAGTTTGTACAATTGTGTGTCAGAAGTACATAACTTCCTTTTTGTGGTGTTGTAGGGCTGTCAGTTAGAAATCATTAAGTGTCAGATAAGAAATGGATTTTTAAAAACAATTTTTTAATTTTTTGAAATTATAATTACATCATTTCTCCCTTTCCTTTCCATCATCCAAATGTTCCCATATACACTCCTTGCTCTCTTTCAAATCTGTGGCCTCTTTCTCATTATTTATTATATATGTATTATATATGTGTGTATGTGATCTATATTTTAATCAATATATAAATATATTTAGGAATATATAATATATGTATCATATAAGTATATTAGTATACATAATGTATTGTAGATGAACAGTCTTATTAAATAAGAAACACAGAGCCAAATACAGTTAAAAGCCAAGAGGTCAGAGCAATAGCTAAGAGGTGAGACTAAAAACCTTACTCTTCACTGCTGCTGCTGTCCTACCTCTCTGAAAGAGACCTACTTCCTGTGAATCTGTCCTTTTATAGACTTTCTGTTCTGTCTTTTCATTGGTTGTAAACCCAACCACAAGACCTCCTCGTCACTGCCCATTTATACAGACCTCGAGGTCTTCTATGGTTGGTATTGAGATTAAAGGCGTGTGTCCCCATGCTGGTAGTATCCTTGAACATACAGATATCTGCCTGTCATGTGATCAGGATTAAGGGCATGTGCTATCACTGCCAGACTTCTGCTATGGCTTGCAATTAGCTCTGACTCCCAGGCAACTTTATTAACATACAAATAAAACCACATTTCAGTACAAATAAAATATCACCATATTTCCCCTTTTCTATTTAAATAAAAGGAAAAAGGTTATAACTAATATAAGAAAAACTATATACAAAAGTACAATAACTATATACCACATATACAAATAATAACCACCTAAACAATGTCTAGTCCATTTGTATTTGACAAATTCAGAGAAAATAATTCCATTATCTATCCTATTTTGGTAAGTCCAAAATGTACCTAATTCACTTTCTATCCTAACTAATCTTCAACTATGACTACATAGTCTTCAACTATAACTAATCTTCAACCCCCTCAGAGACCCAAGAAGGAAATAATATTACCTAACAAAATAAAAACAGGAAGTGCATGCAAGCAACTTCAAAAAAAATTTCGAGTTTACAGAAACAGAAGTCTGGAATCTGCTGAATTAATGAAATTGGACATAAGAAATTAAAGTTTTGCATTATGGTCATCAGGAGGGGTCAGCAAAGAAAAAATTAAAGGCATAAAGAGAAAAATTAGCAGAATTATAGGGAAAAGTATTTAAAGAATATAAATCATATTTGTAGTGTTTTCTTGGAATGTAACAAGAATGCTATCAAAATGATCATGAAATCATACACACACAGATTTGCATAAACATTTATTTTTCCATTTGGAAATCAATAGTTGGATTTCATGTGAGCCCGGCCTATTTTGTAAGGTATTTCTAGTTCTTCATAAGCTGAGTATTTCTTTTCTTTTGAAGAATAGGCTGGTCTTGGGGGCCCAGATGTGGAAAAATCCTGCAAGGAAGTTAAAAATATCAAAGTAATTACATGACATTTCATAAAATATCTAAGCTTGCTTAGATATGCTAATGTATCAGAAAATTTAGCATATATTATGTGTCATTTTAGAAAACTGTTTAGCTGCTATTACAAGTTCATAATTATTTTTAAAATAAAATATTTATTTTAGTTAATTAATGAGAGCTTCTTTTAAATAGCCACTAAATACATGTACTGCAACTCTTCTGAACCGGCTTAGCTACTATGCAATCCAGAATCTCTTCACTACAATAAGAAACAAACATTGCTGGATGGTATGCATGTAAGAAAAACAAGTAGTTTTGTGATATTATAGTTCCAAAGTTCATTTTGTTGCTGTAAAGATGGATGTTAGTACATCCTTAAATAAGTCTCCTAGCATTTAATCAGTTCTCATTGGTTTCAAATCTCCTTTCTAATGATTGCAAATTTAAATATATATAAATGATAATATACAAATTAATAAAAAACACTACATTTATTTATATATACATGAATACCTATTATATTTTATGTATTCTATTATCTTTGACTCTCATTTCCTAATCCCATTATACAAACTTAAGGAGAAGGTATAGTGATTCATATAAAGTCAATTTTCCAAACCTATATCTGAACTAATTTTGTTTTATCATTTTAGCATAATGAATGCCAATGTTCACTATGTCATCTGCACTGGAATTATGATGATTGTGACCATAAATAGAAATTGAAATGTTTTCTACATACGAAGATTGGCTTCATGTGTGCAGTTGACAAGTTGTTCCCATAGTTTATTGCAGGCTTAGTTGGTCCTGGAGAGTCATCCCAATTACGAGGTGGATAGTTGTAAAAAGTACCTTCTTTGAGTTTTTGAGCCATATAGCTATTTTAAGAATAAAAAATTAAAATATTTTAAAATATAACATATATTGTTAAAGAATTATAATGCAAAGATTACTATGAATGTATTCTATATGAAATGAATGAAGTCATGCAGAAGTCATTAGACTGAAATAAGAGGCATAATGAAATAATGGTGTATTCATAAGATAGAAAGTACTAAACAATTTTTGTTTAAATTATATTGCAAAAACTAGAGGCTTGATATGCAATAGTCCTGATGTTCTTTCTCAGAATCTCTACAAAATTGTGATACTTAGATCAATGGGAAACACGGCATTTAAAGCTCTACAGTTTAATTTTCCTTGGGAAATATGCTAAAGAGCTATCTTTTACTCTGACAAAAATATCATTATATAAATATTCACAGTTAGAAACAGTGTTATCTATATGCCTGTTTATCTCTGCAACTTTGCCTCCTACAAATACACACACATACACACGCACACGCACACGTACATTTAAAATGCTCAAAGCAATTATTTCCAAATGAGATACTCTTTTCTTTCTTTTTCAGTATTTGTACTTTCCACTTCCCTTTTATAGTATAAATAACTTACTTGGAATTTATTCTGGAAAATTTTGATGATGGAAGAAAAGAATTTCCAGAAAAGGCTTCTTGGTGGGATAGACTCCAGGGACTCTACACAGAGATTTTTATAAGAGGAAAAACAGTGGTTAGTCATGGTTTGAAGGAAATGTAAAATACAGTGTATAATTGCTCACACTGCATCTCCATGCTAATATGTAAGTACCATGATAGTTTTAAGCCACTTCCTACAATATGACAAGTGAACAAAAGTAAGTAAAGGCACTAGGAACTTTGCAAGCATCTATTAATCTAGCTATCTGCTATCATCTGCCTGTCACCCATCTAGTGATAGAGAATGGTATTCTGAAGATGTGTAAATGGGAGTTACACTTCAGACACAATCTGAGCATTAAGTAATGCTTTTAACCAAAGATTAAGCTTAAGCCCATCTTTCAACTGTCATAATGTGAACAATTTCATAGATAAAACACAACTGACGATAACTCAAGGAGACTAAATTTAGGTTGAATACAGAACTACAGCATGAGCCAGCTACAGTATACTAGGATGAATTTTTTTTTTTTTTTTTTTTTGGTTTTTCGAGACAGGGTTTCTCTGTGTCGCTTTGCGCCTTTCCTGGGACTCA